ATCGGCCCATATCAGCAAGCATATCGGCCGATAGCCGATATGTCTCCAGGTGTCCATATTGGCCGATAATATCGGCCAGCCGATATATCGGTCGGGCTCTAATTATTACATTACAGTTCCCTGCACTTGTTCATGCCTCAGTCCAGTGGTGCCCAACACGTCGATCGTGATCTACCAGACGATCTCCAGGGTCGTGTGAGTAGTGCTCAGTGTCGTAGGACTCGTCTCGGACTCGATCGTGTTTAGACTCAGTCTTGTCTCGGGCTCGAGGTCTGACACTCGACAAGTGCGATTATATTTCCTTACGGCCGCTGGAGTCAGCAGTAAACTTGTACCAGTGTGCGGGAGCGTTCTTTGAGCATGCGGGATAGTGCGGGATTGTGCTGGAGCGTGCAGGGGTGTGTCGGAGCATTTTTGGAGCATGTGGGATCGTGCGGGAGTGAGCAGGGGCGAGCAGCAGTGACGGGGAGTGTGCGGGAGCGTGGCGGAGGGTGTGGGAGCATGCGGGATTGTATGGGAGTGTGCAGGGGCGAGCAGGAGTGTGCGGGATCGTGCTTGGAGGGTGCAGGGGCGTGCCGGAGTGTTCTTGGAGCATGCGGGTTCGTGCGGGAGGGTGTGGGTTTGTGCCGGAGGATTTTTGGAGCGTGCGGGAGTGTGTGGAAGTGTGCAGGGGCAAGCGGGAGTGTTCTTGGAGCGTGCGGAGGCGTGCTAGAGCATTTTTGGAGCGTGTGGAATCGTGCGGGAGTGTGCAGGATCGTGGAGGAGGGTGTGGGAGCATGTGGGATTGTGCAGGAGCATGCCATATTGTTCTTGGAGTGTGCTGAACGGTGCTGGACGGTGCGGGATTGTGCGGGAGGGTGCTGGAGCGTTCTTGGAGCATGCCGGACGGTGCTGGAGGGTGCCAGAGCATGCAGGAGGGTGCAGGATTATGCGGGATTGTGCAGGAGTGGGACGGTGTTGGAGTGTGCAGGAGGGTGTGGGATTGTGCGGGAGGGTGTGGGATTGTGCGGGAGGGTGCTGGAGCGTTCTTGGAGCATGCTCGGACGGTGCTGGAGGGTGCTGGAGCATGCAGGAGGGTGTGGGATTGTGCGGGAGGCTGCTGGAGCCTGCGGGAGAGTGCAGGGCGTCTCTCTGCAGCCTGTGCGCTCATTTGGAGCCCGCGGACACTGCACGGTACATCACAAACACACTCGCTCCCTGCGCGTGGTTTGTCCGTAACAGTGTGTGTCCTCGTGTACCAGCGTGTGTCACAGGGCAGGTTCAACTTTTTAAAACACCTCACGTCAGTGCCGCTCCTCCCCGTGTACGGCGCACACAGACTCACTTCACTTTGTTCAGTTTTGTGTAAAGTGCCAGTGGAAGTTCTTCTGAAGCAGAGGTTCTCAATCTGTGGGCGAAGGTCCAGAAAAGCGCTGCAGAGTGTTTCAGTGCAGAACAGTTTGCTTCTCTTTGTAGTAGGTCGATTATTTTAACTTGACGTGTTGAAAAATTGTGGGCACCTCTGTCTTGATAAAACAGGAAGTGAGTCTGAGATCTTGATGAACAAAGAGTTTATCAAGAAAGATTCAGGCTCAGTCACGACTTGATTAATAACCTTTTCATCTTTTCATTTCTTGTCTCCATGGAGATGTTATTTCTTTGTCTAGAATGTTCCACAGTGTAGATTAAACCTGACTGTCACCATGGAGACATGACAAGTCAGATCTGTGGAGAGTCGCCCCTTTTCACAGAAGGAATTATTGTATTTTTGAGCAACAGAAACATCCGTAATGAAGAAATGCTGATGGATGAGTTTCCATGGTGTGACTTCCATGGAACATTCCAGATCATTATATTTAAGATTTTGCAAAACATTTCACAGTTTTCTTTGCAGCTTTGTCATTTTTTAGGTTTCAAATTTTACTTCCTGATTTGAAATTACGACATCTCTCTGTGAATTCTATAACTGTTACCTAGCAACCGAAATGTACACAGAGTCAAAACTCTGAAATTATTATTGTTTGACAAATAAAAATAAATAAATATAAAAAAATAAAAATAACATAAAACACCTTTATTTTGTTGAAATGTTGTTTAAATAGTTGGAAAAAATCTGTTTCTTGAGTAAATTGTGCTGAACTTTTGGGCAGAATTCTTCCAGTGTGACGTGTTCGTGTCATTTTCAACAGATTTTCAACTTTTCTTCACAAATTGCTTCTTGATGTAAAATTAAAATGTAAATTTACAACAAAATTGAATCATTTTAAAAATACTATTACAATGAATTACAATGAATACTACTACTACTACTACTACTACTACTACTACTACTACTACTACTACTACTATTACTACTACTACTACTACCACTACTTCTGCTACTACTACTACTATTAGTACTACTTTTACTACTACTTCTACTAGTACTACTTTTACTACTACTACTACTATTACTTCTACTACTAGTACTTCTACTAGTACTTCTACTACTACTACTAGTATTACTTTTACTACTACTACTACTATTACTTCTACTACTAGTACTACTACTGACTACTACTACTACTACTACTAGTACTACTACTAGTACTTCTACTACTACTACTACTACTAGTACTACTTTTACTACTACTAGTACTACTTTTACTACTACTTCTTACTACTACTGCTACTACTACTACTACTACTACTACTACTACTACTACTACTACTACTACTACTACTACTACTACTACTACTACTACTACTACTATGTTTTTACTTAAGTATTTAATCGTCTCTTTTTTCAGTCCTTTTTTATTATAACAGTTTTATTTTTTCTTCCCCTGGTGTTGATATAAATGAGTCTTTGTTCATGTTTTATTAAGTCTAATTAAAGTATAATTATCATGAAGTGGTCGTGGAATATTTCGGGCTAAAACGGGGCCTGTAATTATGCACGCAGGGGTCAAAGTTCACGTGCGAATGACTCATCTCCCCTCGGACGACAAAAGAAACTCTCATGAGGGTTTGGAATTTCAGAGGTGGGAGACGAGAGGAAGAGTCAACAAGGAAGGAGGCGCTTTGTGCTCGCTTCTGTCGCACAACACACACGACGCACAACACACACGACACACACACGACGCACAACACACACGACGCACAACACACACGACACACACGACGCACGACACACACGACACACAACACACACAACAGAACTGTGCCATTTGAGTGTCGTTAGAGATCGTAAATAGTTTGAAAAGGGGGCGTGGTGAAAGGTTTTAATCGACTAATCGAACGTCGTCTACAGGTGTAAAAGTCCTGAATAAAAGTCTGTACTGTTGATGTTCTGTGTGTTTTTCTTGACGAGCTGAGGTGTGTGTGTGTCTCTGTGTGTGTTTTTATCGTTTATTCAAAGCAGGGATTCCTCTGCTCTGTTGTGATTTGTTTCATGCAAATTGTGAGTGTAACTGTGATCTACAGTTTTACAGCAGCAGCAGCAGCAGTGACCACAGCCTGTAGAGAAAACACAGTGTTCATACTGTGGCTCTGATCAGACTCTAAAAGAATAGAGTTTTAAAAAGAGTCTAGTTTTATATCACCGATATATTTAGTGATGTAAAAATTCACTGTAAATCTTGAATTGATTAAAAAACTTAGGTTTGGCTCTAGTGGATTCTAAATTGGGTTTATTTAGGCAACATTTATTGTCTTTACATCATATTTACAGACAGTAGATTGGCCTAATGGCATTTTTGCATCACATTCTAGCTACTAGTGATGGGTATTCCAGTTTTGTTTTTGTTTTTTTGGAGAACCGGCTCTTTTGGCTCGGCTCTCTAAAGCAGCTGGCTCTTTCGGCTCCCAAGCGACTCTTGAGATGGTTTTGTTGCAAGCAGGACTAAACCAGAACTGAACCAGGACTGAGTGTCGGGACTCGGTTTCTATCTCTCTCCTTCACTCGAGCCCAAGTTTAGTCCTGGTTTATTCATTTTATGCTGAACTGCAGCCAAATATGCACTTTTTTTATCCTATGCACACGCAGATTTCTGAAAATTTCGTTTTCAGCCGCTGCTGCTGTCAAACTACGGGTCTACATGCGGCATGAAGAGAAAAAGTGAGAAAAAGAGAGAACACGGCTCCCAATAAGAAGCAGGCTCCCGTTGTTCGCTTCAAAAGAGTCGGCACTAAGAGCCGCTTCGATCGCGACCGACCCATAACTCCTAGCTAGTAAACTATCGCTATTAGCCTTTAGCCGTAAATGCTGCGCACCGCGGTAGTTAATTATATGCATAAATGTGGATCATTCACACATCTATTCACAGCTCATTTACATATCAATGCAGGTCCAGTAACAAATATACGGCCAATACAGTCACTTTACAATAGACCAATAGAAAACAGTCTGTTTATGTGTGGGAGCTACAGCAGCTAACCGCTAACAAAACCTAAACTAGCTTCAAAGTCGATGTATTTCCAACACTCACCGCTCACACAGGCTCCTCCCACATCACAAGTCTGCACTAATAAATGTCCTTTTAATCCAGACTCAAACCGATTGTCCGAAAAAGAAAATCTCAATGTTGCGCACGACTGCGGGTGTAAACAAACACATGCGAATGAAGTGACGTCACTCTGGTGGTGTGTTCAGGGACAGTACGGACACAGACAAATGACTCCGCAGATAAATACTGATGCGGAGCCACATATTAGGACATTTATCTGTCTGTAAATTGGATTAAATGAGAGTCTAAGCTTTATAACGAGGTATAACATGCCCACGTGAAATATCGGCCCATATCAGCAAGCATATCGGCCGATAGCCATATGTCTCCAGGTGCCCATATTGGCCGATAATATCGGCCAGCCGATATATCGGTCGGGCTCTAGTTGTGAGTGTACTTTTGTTCAGAGAGTAGTGTTGTACACAGTGTAGTGTTGTACACAGTGTAGTGTTGTACACAGTGTAGTGTTGTACACAGTGTAGTTTTGTTTGAGCCTGGGACACTGACTCTGATCTCTCTCTCTCTCTGTTCCAGGCTGGTGGACGACCGCTGCGTGGTCCAGCCCGACGCCGGAGACCTCGCCAATCCTCCCAAGAAGTTCAGAGGTGCAGTGTGTTTGTTTTTTTGGCTCTTCTCTCTGCTACATAAACTATTCCACGATTAATGATGAATGTTTGTGTCATGACACGAGTGGAAGTTTGTTTTTTTAACACAATAATCCAGATTACAGAAGCGTAAATAATCAGTACTGCCATAAAAAACAAACACGAGGGACGCAGCAACTGATCCTGGATCATACTGAGATCTGAGATCTGATATTGATATGTGATATCGGCGTCGATACTGAAACATTTGCCAGATCAGAATCGGTTTCCAAATATCGGTTCAGTCGATTCCTGATGCATGAATAAATCTCAGAATGTTAAAAATTTTATTTAGTGACAAAAACTTTTCCAACTTTGTGAAAAATGAAACTGAAACGAACTGACGACAGATTTACTCACTCTGTGTCTGTGTCTGTGTCTGTGTTGTGTTTTGTGTTGTGTGTTTGTATATATGTGTGTATTTTCTGTGCATTTGTGTGTGTATGTGTTGTGCATCTTTTGTGCGTTTGTGTTTGTGTACGTTTGCGTGTGTGTGTGTATCTTGTCTCTGTGTGTGTCTGGGTGCGTTCATGTGTGTCTGGGTGCGTTCATGTGTGTCTGGGTGCGTTCATGTGTGTCTTGTGTGCATCTTGTGTGTATGTGTTTTTGTGTGTCCTGTGTGTCTTGTGTGTGTCTTGTGTGTATGTGTTGTGCATTTGTGTGCGTTTGTGTCTGTGTTTGTGTGTGTCTGTGTTTGCGTTTTGTGTGTTGTGTTGTGTGTTTGTGTGTGTTTGTGTGCGGTTGTGCATCTTGTGTGTGTCTTGTCTATGTTTGTGTGTGTGTTTGTGTGCATTCATGTGTGTCTTGCGTGCATCTTGTGTGTATGTGTATTTGTGTGTGTCTTGTGTGTGTATCTTGTGCGTGTGTGTGCGTTTTGTGTATGTTGTGCGTTTGTGTGTGTTTGTGTGTGCATGTGTTGTGTGTTATTGTTTGCGTTTTGTGTATGTGTTGTGTGCGTTTGTGTGTGCCTTGTGTTTGGTGTGCGTCGTGTGTGTGTTGTGTGTTTATGTTGTGCGTTTGTGTGTGTTTGTGTGTGTTTTTCAGATTGTCTGTTTAAGGTTTGCCCCATGAACAGATATTCGGCGCAGAAACAGTTCTGGAAAGCCAAACAAGGAAAACAGGGAAACAACAACACACAGGCCGACCTCTTCAAGAAACTACAGGTAAAACACACACACACACACACACACACACACACACACACACACACGCTGCACACAAATGGACACAACAAACTTACAAAAACACACCACACCATACACCCCTGTTAACCCGAGATTATATCAAATTTTTGCACTGCATATGACACGGACTAAACCAGGACTAAACCAGGACTAAACCAGGACTAAACCAGGACTAAACCAGGACTAAACCAGGACTAAACCAGGACTAAACCAGGGACTAAACCAGGACTATTGAAATAAGTAAAGTATCAGAATGTAGGAAAGAGTTACACTCCAACAGGGTCAAGTTAAACCTGTGAGATTCTTTCAAGTTGTTGACAAAAATTAAAAAACTCATGTCGGTAACGGAGGGAATGAAATATGCAGCACTTTTTGGTCAATAAATCCAAACAGTGATAACTCTTGGTTCTCACTTCCATATCCTTAACAAACTGGTTTGAATATTTGCTTCATATAGTTTTCTACCATATGGTACAAGATTAGGTTGAAAAACCTCTTACTTTTTGACTCATGAGATTTTTTATTAAGAAAGTTCATGGTAACGGAGGGAAAAGTAACGGAGGGAAAATTGTACAAACAAGTAGAAGGTGCAGGATTTTACATTTACATTTGTCGCTTTTTTCTTCTGAAACTTTAATATTACTTCAAAATGAAAGGAAACTATTTCTATAAAATATGTCAGTCCTTCCAAGCAAATTTTTACATTTTTAATTTTTTTTGAAAAATCATGTCCCTTCATCAACAGTTCAAAGATGGAATAACACAAGATATATGATGAAATACATCCATTTATTTACATGATTTTTGCAGGTCTTTGAAATTTGGGAAATAATTTTTGTTCCATGTTTCATACATGGTCTGTTTAAAACGGATGGAACTTTAGAACCAAATATGGTACAGAAAAAAAGGTCAACAGTTTCATAAACTAGAGTACATATGTATCTGTTCAATACATTTTTATATCAGATGAATTAACTTGAATTTTTGGCCTTGTTGTTTACTTCTGCTTGACCGGGACCAGTAGTATAATAGTAGTAGTATATAATAGTAGTAGTATAATAGTAGTATTCATGTGTAAGTCTGTATTTTTCCTCTTTCTTCTTGTCTTTCTCTGACCTGTTTGCATTATCTGATGGTTCATTGCCTCTCTGTTTTTTCTTGTTTGTTTTTTTCCCAGCATGCCGCAGAGCTGGAGCAGAAGCAGAATGACTCGGAGAACAAAAAGCTGTTGGGAGAAATCGTCAAATACAGTAACGTCATCCAGGTACGTCACAGACACGAGCCCGGCCTCCTCCCCCGTCGCCGTCGTCCGCCGCCGTCGCCGTCCCCGTCACCGCTGCGTTTGTGCCGTGTTTAGCCTGGGCGGGGTCGGTCGTTATATTTAACCAGAGGCAGTTTACAGACACAGAGGTGGGTGTGTTTTTCAAATTACCGTCATCCGAGCCTCATTCGACCTGATTATGAAAACTAGAGATGGTGATTTAAAGCTCCTGTATCGCACAAAACTGACTCCTGTGAGGTTGAAGTCGTGTTCTAATGTTGTTCCCGCCTCAAAAACAGACCTGGAGTTGTGTTTCGTTTCATTCACAGCCCAAAACGTGTTTAACGAAGGTGTTTTTGAGCGATAAATGTTGTTTTTAATGCCATACTGTGGAACAATCCAGGCAAATCATAACAACTAACAAGCAGAAGAGAAAATATTTTAACAGAAATACACAAAAATACAACTATATTTATTGTTTTAAAGCTCCTAAACTGACTCTTGTGAGGTTTTAGTCGTGTTCTAATGTTGTTCCCTCAAAAACAGACCTGGAGTTGTTTGAGTAACTCTTTATGATTAGTCTGTTTATGTCTCCAAAGCTCTAAATTAGAGCCCAACCGATATGGATTTTGTTGTGGCCGATATGAAACCGATATAATGGGAGTTGGAGCTGCCGATATAATCACCGATATATTTACCGATATATTTAGTGATGTAAAAATTCACTGTAAATCTTGAATTGTTTAAAAAACTTAGGTTTGGCTCTAGTGGATTCTAAATTGGGTTTATTTAGGAAACATTTATTGTTATTCTGACTCTTTACATCATATTTACAGACAGTAGTTTGGCCTAATGGCATTTTTGCATCACATTCTAGCTACTAGTGTTGGGTATTCCAGTTTTTTTTTTTTGAGAACCGACTCTTTTGGCTCGGCTCACTAAAGCAGCTGGCTCTTTCGGCTCCCAAGTGGCTCTTGAGATTGTTTTGTTGCAAGCAGGACTAAACCAGAACTGAGCCAGGACTGAAAAAGGACTAAACCAGGACTAAAACAGATTTAAACCATGTGTGAAACAGGACTAAACCAGAACTGAACCAGGACTGAGTGTCGGGACTCGGTCACTCCTTCACTCGAGCCCAAGATTAGTCCTGGTTTATTCATTTTATGCTGAACTGCAGCCAAATATGCACTTTTTTTTTTTCATCCTATGCACACGCAGATTTCTGAAAGTTTCGTTTTCAGCCGCTGCTGCTGTCAAACTACGGGTCGACATGCGGCATGAAGAGAAAAAGTGAGAAAAAGAAAACACGGCTCCTAATAAGAAACATGCTCCCGTTGTTCACTTCAAAGAGCCGCTTCGATCGCGATCGACCCATAACTCCTAGCTAGTAAAGAAACTACCGCTATTAGCCTTTAGCCTTAAAAACGTGCGCGCCGCGGTAATTAATTATATGCATAAATGTGGATCATTCACACGTCTATTCACAGCTCATTTACATATCAATGCAGGTCCAGTAACAAATATACGGACAATATAATCACTTTACAATAGACCAATAGAAAACAGTCTGTTTATGTGCGGGAGCTACAGCAGCTAATCGCTAATCACAAATAGCCAAAACTAGCTTCAAAGTCGATGTATTTCCAACACTCCCACATCACAAATCTGCATTAATAAATGTCCTTTTAATCCAGACTTTAACCGATTGTCCGTAAAAAGAAAATAATCTCAGTGTTGCGCACGGCTGCGGGTGTAAACAAACACAGTGAAGTGACGTCACTCTGGTGGTGTGTTCAGGGACAGTACGGACACAGACAAATTACACCACAGATAAATACTGATGCGGAGCCACATATCAGGACATTTATCTGTCTGTAAATTGGATTAAATGAACAGAATGTAGAGAGTCTAAGTTTTATAACGAGGTATAACATGCCCACGTGAAATATCGGCCCATATCAGCAAGCATATCGGCCGATAGCTGATATGCCTCCAGGTGCCCATATCGACCAATAATATCGGCCAGCTGATATATCGGTCGGGCTCTACTCTAAATGGTCTGTTGCACCTTGTGATGTCATGAAGCGGTAGTTTAAAGATGCACTATGAAACTTTTTGGTTCAGGATCCATCACCTACTTGTTTCTTCAGGGTTCCTACGGTCATGGAAGTCCTGGAAAAGTCATGGAAACTGAAAATGCCAATGAAAGTTTTGGAAAAGGCACGGAATAAGTCATGGAAAAGTTTTTAAATTTTGTCACTGAAAAAGTGTGGGAACCCTGTTGTTTCTATGGATACATGATTGCTCTGCCTGGAATGTTCCACAGTGTGACATTAAACAGCTCAACTTTACATTTATTCAATTACAGGTGGTTTTATAGCTCAAAAATACCAAGAAAAACAGACATTCTGACAGTGAGCGGGGTCGCCTCTCCACAGATCTGACCTGGAACTTGGTCTGGTTTGGTCTCCGTGAAGATAGAAAGATTTAATGACACAGTGTGAAAACACATTTGAAAGTGAACAGCTCCTTTTACCTTTAGTTCAGTGGAGATCGGCGATTCCAAAAGTGCTTAAATGATCCAAATGATTCTTGAGAAGGAAGTTCTGCTGAAAGAACAAAAATGTGGCTGTTTGCTGCAGGTTTTCCAATCAGTAGGAGCAAGTAGAGGCGCTCTTGGAAAAAAGGATCAAAACTCAAACACAACAGACTCCAGGCAACTCCAAAACCGTAAAAAGTTAACACATCGCACGAGGAAAAATATGGTTAAAAGGCCTTTATTTGAATGGCCAAAGTCGACATGTTTCGACCTTAACTGGTCTTCATCGGGGCTTAAAGTTTGGAGCTTACAAATTTGTGCATGCGAGTTTTTAGACACTCGCGCAATCGCTGGCTCCAAGAATCACCTCAGTTTGTCTTCGCTCCTTTTCCCCTTTCGCGACCTCAAGAACTGACTTTCTTTTGCGGCGAACTGGTCGTGGATTCTCGTCCGCCATCGCAACAAACTTTGTGAGGAAGTGACAGTTTGAAAAAGCCTCTAAGAACCGCTGCATAAACCATGTGATCCCTGCATCCCGACGAGTCAATTACACTAGAAACGTAGGGAGTTGATGACCTGACAGCCAATAGGTAAAGAGGCAGCCTCGTTTTCTATTGGCTGATGTTTATCTGGCCTAACACGTCCAGTTGATAAATTTTCATTCTTTTTTTTTTTGGTCATCGTAATTACAAGGCTGCTGCATCTCTGTCTTTCATTGACAATTTGAAACAAAAAAAAATCCGAACTCGGGCGTGGCCTTCAAGTAGAACAGCAAGGCAGTAAAAAAAAAAAAAAAACAGGACACAAAAAAAAAACCCAAAAAAACACATCATTATCATTAATGTTGTTTCCATTATTATTGTTACCAATAATTTATTAATATTTATAGTTTGTATCATATTTTTTATATTTTTATTATATTTATATTATATTAGTGTTATTTTTATCGTGTAATATTTTTTATTTTTTTTATTTTTTATTATTATTATTGCCATCATTATCGATATTAACCATAACAACAATAATAGACATAGAGAACCTATCAGCCTACAGTGGTTGTAAATGCAACATTAATAAAAGAACATATTATTAAACCTTATATTATAAAAATTATGAAAAACAAGACAGATCAAATTTAATAATATGTTCTTTTATTAATGTTGCATTTACAACCACTGTAGGCTGATAGGTTCTCTATGTCTATTATTGTTATTATGGTTAATATCGATAATGATGGCAATAATAATAATAAAAAATAAAGAAATAAAAAAATAACAAATATTACACGATAAAAATAACACTAATATAATATAAAAAAAATATGATACAAACTATAAATATTAATAAATTATTGGTAACAATAATAATGGAAACAACATTAATGGTAATGATGTGTGTGTTTTTTTGGTTTTTTTTTTTGCCTGTACCATGTCCTGTTCTTGTGCACCTGTTTTGTCGGCCTCCAGTTTACTCCAGCCTGTTACTGGTTGATGTGTTCTACTTGAAGGCCACGCCCGAGTTCTGTTTTAATTAAGCCCTGATGAAGACCAGTTAAGGTCGAAACATGTCGGCTTTGGCCATTCAAATAAAGGCCTTTTAACCATATTTTTCCTGGTGCGATGTGTTAACTTTTTACTGTTTTGGAGTTGCCTGGAGTCTGTTGTGTTTAAGAAAGTCCTGCTGCTGAAGGACTCGCCTGAAAAATCGTTGTCGTCATATTTTATAGCGACGCTTTTATTTTCACGTCTTAGAAAGGCATTGTTGAACTCCAGGACGAGAAAGAGGAAGCAGCGAGGCGATAAACTTTGTTCAGTCGACACCGCAGAACTATAATAAAAATAGTTTTTATTATAGATCCATGTTTGACGCTGAATTCACACGCGAGGTGCAATATGCAGCAGAACGTCCGGGGCAAATAAACCAGAGAGAATAAAATATCAAAATTAAAATAGGCACCAAGACATAATAAAATTAAATTTACTTTAAATTAAATATTGTAAATAAAGGACGATCTGTTTTTGTTTGACACTAAAACGGAAAAATGAAATAAACAGTTTTCCCATTTTACTGTTTTTCGTTCTTAATTGAAATTCAAAAGAACAAATAATGGTACGCGGACCTAACTGCTGTACATTCCACCACGCACATACACGTAGAACACCCCCAGCGCGACGTGTTGGGACGCGTTCACACTTTAAAACGGTTCGCAGTGGGGGGCGGGACAAGACGCAGTTTTCACGAGACGAGACGGCGCGAGATCGGGTCCACGACGACGAGACGAGATGAGATTTGTAGATTGTGTAACCATGGTAACCGCTGAACAGTTCGCCACACACATACACAGCACCCCCAGTAGTGTGATCAGCATCGATTTGGAGACTTTTTGCCTTCTTCTTGACCCACTCTGTGTCCAAACAAAAGCTCTCGAAGTGAACGAAGTGAACAAAGTAAACTAAAACTAGAATCTGAATTTAGACGCTCATTAGAACAAGTTACCATGGAGACGCAATGCACACATTAGCAGTGTTGTGGAGTAACAGATTACATGTACCAGAGTTAAGTAATCAGAGTACAAACTATGAGTAACTGTATTCAGTTACAGTTACTGTTTCAGTGAGTGGTAATTGGATTACAGTTACTTTGTTGAAATAAATGGATTACACAGAGTGGTTTTCCTGTTTTCACATTTTGGGCTAAACCAGGTCTAAAACCAGGTCTAAAACCAGGTCAAAACCAGGACTAAACCAGGACTAAAACCAGGACTAAACCAGGTCTAAACCAGGTCTAAACCAGGACTAAAACCAGGATTAAGACCAGGACTAAAACCAGGACTAAAACCAGGACTAAAACCAGGACTAAAACAGGACTAAAACCAGGACTAGAACCAGGACTAGAACCAGGACTAGAACCAGGACTAGAACCAGGTCTAAACCAGGTCTAAACCAGGACTAAACTAGGTCTAAACCAGGTCTAAACCAGGTCTAAACCAGGTCTAAACCAGGACTAAACCAGGTCTAAACCAGGAATAAACTAGGTCTAAACCAGGACTAAACCAGGTCTAAACCAGGACTAAACCAGGACTAAACTAGGTCTAAACCAGGACTAAACCAGGTCTAAACCAGGTCTAAACCAGGACTAAACCAGGACTAAACCCAGGACTAAACCAGGACTAAACCAGGACTAAACCAGGACTAAACAGGTCTAAACCAGGTTAAACCAGGACTAGAACCAGGTCTAAACCAGGACTAAACCAGGTCTAAACCAGGACTAAACTAGGTCTAAACCAGGACTAAACCAGGTCTAAACCAGGTCTAAACCAGGTCTAAACCAGGACTAAACAGGTCTAAACCAGGACTAAACCAGGTCTAAACCAGGACTAAACCAGGTCTAAACCAGGACTAAACTAGGTCTAAACCAGGACTAAACCAGGTCTAAACCAGGACTAAACCAGGACTAAACCAGGTCTAAACCAAGACTAGAACCAGGTCTAAACCAGGTTTAAACCAGGACTAAACTAGGTCTAAACCAGGTCTAAACCAGGTCTAAACCAGGTCTAAACCAGGTCTAAACCAGGTCTAAACCAGGGCCAGTTTGAAGAGAACAAACATGAATTTTCAGGATGTGTTTGGTTCATTCATGTAGTTTTAAAAAAGCATGACAGTATCAAGTAATCCAAAGTATTCAGATTACATTACTCACCTGAAGTAATTTAATGGATTACGTTACAAACTACATTTTGGTGTATGTAATCTGTAATCTGTAGGGGATTACATTTTAACAGTCACCTTCCCAACACTGCACATTAGCAAACGTGTCACCAGAAAACTAAAAAAAAAAGACTTGCAAATAGGCCTGTAACGGTAACAGATTTTCCTGGACGATTAATTGACCAAGAATTTATTGCGATAAACGATAATATTGACATTTTGAGACCAATTTCAACTAATATAATGACCATGGAATAAAAATGCAAATACATCCTCTCAATGATCAATAAAGTTGACTTTCTAAAGAACATTTAACACAGGAAGTCTAAACCAGAATCTCATTAGAACAAGTTACATGGACGCAAACACATAGCAAGTAACTAATGTACAGAGTTAAGTCTACAAACTATGAGTAACTGTATTCAACAACTGTTTCAGTGAAATTGGATTACAGTACTTTGTTGAAATAAATGGATTACACAGAGTTTTCCTGTTTCACATTTTGGGCTAAACCAGGTCTAAAACCAGGTCTAAACCAGGTCTAAAACAGAACTACCAGACTAAAGACTAAACCAGGTCTAAACCAGGTAAAACCAGGACTAAACCAGGACTAACCAGGACTAACTAACCAGGACTAAACCAGACTAAACCAGGTAAACCAGGACTAAACCAGGACTAGAACCAGGTCTAAACCAGGTCTAAACCAGGACTAAACTAGGTCTAAACAAACCAGGTCTAAACCAGGTAAACCAGGACTAAACCAGGTCTAAACCAGGAATAAACTAGGTCTAAACCAGGACCAGGACTAAACCAGGACTAAACCAGGACTAAACTAAAACCAGGACAGGACTAAACCAGGACTAAACCAGGGACTAAACCAGGTAAACCAGGACTAAAAGTAAACCAGGACTAAACCAGAAACCAGGTTAACTAAACCAGGTCTAAACCAGGTCTAAACCAGGACTAAACTAGGTCTAAACCAGGACTAAACCAGGTCTAAACCAGGTCTAAACCAGGTTTAAACCAGGACTAAACTAGGTCTAAACCAGGAACTAAACCAGGTCTAAACCAGGACTAAACCAGGTCTAAACCAGGACTAAACTAGGTCTAAACCAGGACTAAACCAGGTCTAAACCAGGACTAGAACCAGGACTAAACCAGGTCTAAACCAAGACTAGAACCAGGTCTAAACCAGGTTTAAACCAGGACTAAACTAGGTCTAAACCAGGTCTAAACCAGGTCTAAACCAGGTCTAAACCAGGTCTAAACCAGGTCTAAACCAGGGCCAGTTTGAAGAGAACAAACATGAATTTTCAGGATGTGTTTGGTTCATTCATGTAGTTTTAAAAAAGCATGACAGTATCAAGTAATCCAAAGTATTCAGATTACGTTACTCACCTGAAGTAATTTAATGGATTACGTTACAAAATACATTTTGGTGTATGTAATCTGTAATCTGTAGGGGATTACATTTTAACAGTCACCTTCCCAACACTGCACATTAGCAAACGTGTCACCAGAAAACTCAACAAAAAAAGACTCGCAAATAGGCCTGTAACGGTAACAGATTTTGCTGGACGATTAATTGACCAAGAATTTATTGCGATAAACGATAATATTGACATTTTGAGACCAATTTCAACTAATATAATGACCATGGAATAAAAATGCAAATACATCCTCTCAATGATCAATAAAGTTGACTTTCTAAAGAACATTTAACACAGGAAGTGTAAGACAAACAACAGGTCTAAATAAAACAGACTTGTTAACACAGGACGAGTCTAATGTGTCTGACTCACAGCGAGGATTTGTTCACAAAAATACACTTGAATAAATCATTGTTGAACTAAACACAACCAAAGCAATAAATAAAAATGGATTATTAAGTGTCTGTAAAAAAAAATTGCCCTTAAAAGTGATTTTAGTCACTGACTTGCGTTGGTTATTGTGTCTCGTCTCTGTGTTTGCTGCTGTGGCCTCGGCATTTTGGTCTTGAAGTGTTCGTATAAACCCACGACACATGATCCTGTTTCGCTCTGAGTGAGTCTCTGTTCTGTCTGGTGTCGTGTCGGTGTCTTGTGGGATTTCAGTGGATTTCGGGCTCTTCCCGGGGGCGGGGCGAGTTCTGTCGCTCGGGTTTGGGTTTATCGTCTGTTGGGGTTTGAGACATTTCTTCTCGTCATTTGCGTTTCGCTGCATTTGACATTGAAACATGTCCCGCTCACCAGTGTTGATTCGGCATCGTGACGTGTTTTGTCACACGGAGATGAACTGTTTTGTTTTTCTGACAGCGGCGCTTGTGTCGCGGCTTCATGTTTAGTCGCACAGACAGCGGAGTTTTCTGCACTCAGGCTGCGCGTGCATCCACTGTGTCGATAAACACAGCGCACGTTGGTTCAAGCGTCATTACACTTGTTAAACGAAGAGTCAGAGCGAGATAGAAGCTTCTAACATTCACCCTCTTTGAGAGTGAGAGAGAGCGAGGAAAACAAGCCGGGAAAAGTTATCGAGCTCATTAAAAGTTATTGTACGACTAACTTATTTATTGATTACTACTCGCAAAAAATTCAAAAGTGATCCAAAGACCACTTTTTTTTTTCCTGTGATCGGTCCGTTTTTTTTTTTTTTTCAGCCAGTTTGTATCATCACTTTCTTGTAAACCTGAAGTATTTTTGTCTGAATCTTTTTCTGTTTCAGCTCCTTCACATAAAGAGCAACAAATACCTGACGGTGAACAAACGTCTGCCGGCGCTTCTGGAGAAAAACGCCATGAGAGTTTCTCTGGATCCCGACGGAAACGAGGGCTCCTGGTTCAACATCCAGCCCTTCTGGAAGCTCCGCAGTGAAGGGGACAACGTAAGGAGCATTATATTTCACTGTTAACGATTCTGTAAGACTGTAATCGACTTAAGACATTTATGGTCGATTTAAAACTTCCCTTTTAGTGTAGATTAAAAGTTTGCCTGGCAGGTCCAGACTCACATTTCACTGTATTTATTATGCAGAGGGTTTGTCTGGTCTCCACCCTCGAGCCAGAGTCAAACAGTAACGTCGAATCAGATTACTGTATTTTTCAGATTATAAGGCGCACTTAAAATCCTTAAATTTTCTCAAAAATCGACAGTGTGCCTTATAGTCCGGTGCACCTTATGTATTTATTCTGGTTGTTGTTTCTGAACTCAAACCGGGTGCTACACGGCGCTCAAAAATCGGTCAAAATGTTTTGGTATGACTTTGGTAAACTACGAAGCCGCCAGTGTTGGGGAGTAACAGATTACATGAGAGTACAAATGATGAGTAACTGTATTCAGTTACAGTTACTGTTTCAGTGAGTGGTAATTGGATTACAGTTACTTTGTTGAAATAAATTGATTACACGGCAGTATTTTCCCGTTTTCACATTTTGGGCTAAACCAGGACTAAAACCAGGACTAAACCAGAACTAAACCAGGAGTAAAACCATGTCTAAACCAGCACTAAACTAGGACTAAAACCAGGTCTAAACCAGGTCTAAACCAGGTCTAAACCAGGTCTAAACCAGGTCTAAACCAGGTCTAAACCAATCAATCAATCAAACTTTATTTATAAAGCACTTTTCATACAAAAATGTAACACAAAGTGCTTTAGATTAAAAACAATCCCACATTTCCACCCACCCACCAACCCAACCCCCACAGCTGCCCGACTCGACACAACCAAACATCACAGACACCCAAACAGCCAAACCCCCCCCCCACACACACACACACACACATTAACCTGCTAAAATACATAAAACGACACATAGTAAAATGTGAGGCTGAATACAGGCGAACCAGTTGAGAAAACATCATCAGAGGAGCCGTCTACATCAGGAGCAGAGAGACGTCCACCACCACCAGGAACCACCACAGGAGCCAGGGGAGAGATGAAGCCCAAGCTCCAACTCTCCACCAGGAGCCCACGGGACAGACCCGACAGCTACAGCCGACCTCTGCTCCTGATGCAGAGGCTCCTACAGAGGAAACACTGCATATCCTAAAAATAAGTCTAAAATAAATAAATATAAATTAAAATGTGTATAGTAGAAACAAGTAAAAAATATGATATTTCATTCAAAAGCTAAGCTAAAAAGGTGGGTCTTGAGCCTGCTCTTAAAAACATGAACGTTCTCTTTGGCCCTGAGCTCCTCCGGCTGCAGTTCCATAGACGAGGGCCACAGTACTGAAAAGACGCCTCTCCGTGAGTGTGTGTCCTGACTTTGGGAATGACCAGGAGCTGCTGCCGGAGGAGCGCAGGGTCCGCGAGGGTTCGTAAGGTAAAAGGAGTTCTGAAAGATAAGAAGGCCCAAGACCATTAAGACATTTAAAAACCAGTAAAAGAACTTTTAAATCGATCCTGAAACTCACAGGGAGCCAATGCAGTGATTTTAAAAACCAAGACTAAACCAAGACTAAACCAGGTCTACAGTATGAGACCTCACATTAGGGTGGACATAATTTAAGGCAGCAGTGATCTCATATAAAAAACATTTCTCTATCAACAATATTTTTAATCTGGTTAAGTAAAGAATGGACTTTTTATTTTCTTTTAACAGACAAAACATCTCATGTTCAGATCCTCGTCTTTGCTTCTCTGCAGCAAATCAAAAGTCTGTTCATGGAGACTTGGGTTCAGCCAGTTTGAGGAGAACAAACATGAATTTTCAGGATGTGGTTGGTTCATTCATGTAGTTTTAAAAAACATGACAATATCAAGTAATCCAAAGTATTCAGATTACGTTACTCACTTGAAGTAATTTAATGGATTACGTTACAAACTACATTTTGAGGTATGTAATCTGTAATCTGTAGGGGATTACATTTTAAAAGTCACCTTCCCAACACTGGAGGACGTGTAACCTGAACAATTTATAGAGAAGTGGACTGGTTTTTGGGAGACAAGCCCAGAGTTTATCCAATAAAACTGCTCCAACACTTTTGGGGCGTTTAAAGTTCACACTGGAGATCACACATAAGTCACATTTAACTGGAAATGTGAACGAACTCGCAAAAAAATCTGATTTCACAAAAAAATCTGAACATCTTGAAGCTTAAACCCTGTAGACTTGTGTCACTTCTTTATTCAGTCTGTGGTTTGAACTCGCTCCACATGATCCTGGGGTTTTTATTTCACTGTTTTGTTTCTAAATCAACATATGAACATTAATAACCGACCAATCAGCCGCCTTCTTTTCCCAACGGAAAAAAAAGTGACGTCACACTCACTCGGTCCTCTTCTTTAAACATTCTGTGCCTAAAATTCAAATAATTCAGCTGTTGATTTGAATAATTATTAGATGTTTTAATCCAAGTGTCTCGTGTCCAGTAACATTTGTGTTTTGTCTCTTTTGGCTTCAGCTTCCTTTGGTTCCAGGTATTGCTTTTGTTTGTGCATGACGTTTGTGCATCGTTCACTCATGAAACAGGCCGAGTGCTGCATGCGAACACTAAAGCTGCACTGTGTAACTTTTCTGATGGAGCGTCTGCCGTCTGCTCGTCTCCATGGAGATGTTATTGCCTAGGATGTCCCACAGTATGGCATTAAACAAATATACGGTAGCTTGGATTTATTCAGTTACAGGTGTTTTTATTTCTCAAACAGTAAAAAAAACAGTAAAAAAAAAAAATTTATTGCTCTAAACAGGCCCACTTCTCCACAGATCTGACCTGTTACTCGACTTTACGTTATGGCCTTCTCGTTTCCATGGAAATAAATAAATTAAATGCCATCCTGTTGAACATTCCGGGGAAAAAAACAACAAAAAACATTAACTTGAGGTGGCCACACACTACAGGAGAATTTGCCCGATTTTGGCTGCGTTTTGTTTCTCCTCGAGTTCAGGGAGGCGTGACCCGACTTTGTGTTTTCGTGTGAGATTTTGAAGCCGCCGCTCCTCCTCGCGTTTGTCAGTGTCAGATCGTAACCACCAAACATCAGCAACAGCCGATAAAACAGAGCGACGGACGCAGAAACGCAAGATACAAACTCTGGAAACAGCGATAATAATTATTACCGTATTTTCCGGGTGATTAGTCTCGCTCTTAAGCCTCTAACTGCATCAAAAAACGACCGCACGCCACAATCCAGAGCGCCCCATTACACGAATCCACTCGGGGGTCCCAGTACGACTTCAGTAAACTACAAAGCCGCACCACTCGCAGAACACACAAACACACACGGAGCAGACAGCGACCGCACAGCGAAACACACCCACAGACACACTCATCACTCCACGCCGACGAGGAACGGAACGGAGGAACGAACCGAAAAAGCGAGCGCAATGTGTCAATCTGAGCCACGACTGAACAACTGAGTCACTGTGAACACGCCGACAATCCGTTGGTCCCAGACACACCCTCCCTACACGCCACAACTGAACAAAGCCCAGAGTCACCGTGAACGAACAAACAAACAAAACCACTCACCCATCACACTGTTGGGTTTCCTTTAAAGTCCCACACCGTTTATTTGTGAAAAAAGTTTGAAAAATAGACCATTTAATGACAGTGCGTCTTATAATCCAGAGCGACTAATGAAAACTTGTGAATTTAAACTGCAGAAACTCATCCACATCCATCCGTCCATTTTTTTCCTCTTATCCGTGGTCGGCAGGGGCGTCAGTCTAAGCAGGGGCTCTCAGACTTCCTGCACCCCAGACACGTCCTCCAGCTCCTCCAGTCGGGACCCAAAGGTGTTCCCAGGCCAGCCAGGAGACATAGTGTGTCCTGGGTCTTCCCCGGGGCCTCGACTCTGAGCTCCTCCCGTGTGACTGAGCTCCTCACTCTGTCTCTAAGGGAGACGTCCAGACACCCTGCGAAGGAAACTCATTTGTGTCGCTTGTATCGGCGATCTTGTCCTTTCTGTTATTACCCAGAGCTCATGACCAGAGGTGAGAGTAGGAACGAAGACTGACGGTAAATCGAGACCTTTGCCTTTCGACTCAGCTCCATCTTCACCACAACGGTCCGACGCTGCACCAATCCACCTGTCAATCTCACGCTCCATCCTCGTGAACAAGACCTCGAAATACTTGAACTCCTCCACTTGAGGCAGGGACTCTCCACCATGGCCTTGGATTTGGAGGAGCTGATCTTCATCCCAGACGCTTCACTCTCAGGTCAAACCGCCCCAGAGCTGCAGGTCCTGGTCTGATGAAGCCATCAGGACATCATCATCTGCAAACAGCAGAGACGATCCTGTGGTCCCCAAACTCATCCACACACACAAATAATGACCCCAGTCCACAAACCCGCGCTGTGAATCCAGTTTGAGGCGTTGTTTAAAAGTAAAAAGGTGAGAGTCGTTCCTCACTTGTGTCTGGATCGAGGTGAAGCTGCAGATTCACCACAGTGACTCTACTTCCCCAGGACTTTATCTCCAATCTTTTATGCTTTAAAAATCATTTAGACTACCGGTCAAAAGTTTTAGAACACCATAATTTTTCAAGTTATTTATTGCAATTCAAGTCCAATGAAGATCGTGAAATGGTACAAAGGTAAGAACTGAATGGACAGAGGTTAAAAAAACAGAAATAAAAGAACAAAACACAAGTCCAAGCTCTGCCAAAACTACCTCAGGAAAAAAAGAACAAGATGGTAAAACTTGAAAACAGTGTCCAGCAGCAGCAGCAGCACAGGGTCCAGACTTAAACCCATCGAGCTGAAGACTGAAGAGCGAAGCAACCGACAAGTGCCACACATTTATGGAAACTTCTGCAACAGACTCGGGAAGAACTTTCTGAACAATATTTGATTTGTGCTGTAAAAAGATCGAGCCACGAGTGAGTTCAGCTGTTCTGTCTGACAAAGGTCGACACTTTCATCAATCAAAAGTTTAGAAAATGTTTTCGTCAACAGGAAACGGTAAAAAACTGTAAAAAGCGTGGTGTTCTAAAACTTTTGACCGTAGTCTGCACATCATCAACAAGCGACAAGCATCACTGTTCTGCGCTGAAGTAGAAGGAAACTGGAAGAAAGCCAAAAACCACGGCAGACGACAAAACAAAACAAGAGAATTTTCAGGAAACCGTCATCTGACCTCGCAGCATTAGGATTTATTCACTCAACGGTTTGAATACGTTTTGGTCAACAGTAGGGATGGGCATGATTAGTCGATTAATCGATAATTGATCATTAAGAATTTCATCGATTACGTTAATTTTAATCGACAAACCGAATGTAGGTTGTTGTGTGTCGTGACCAAACAGGTGTGTACATGTGTCTCTGCATCAGAAGGAGCGAGACACAAACAGTGGGTCAGTCTGTAACGAACCGAAGCACAAATGTGGATTTAACCAGGATTTGTAGAAGAAATTCCACACTTTCCGTTGCGTTGGGACAAGTGTGAGTCCATGTGCACAGTGGATAAAGCAGCACATATGTTTCTGTGTCCAGTGGGAAAAAGTTTTTCCAGGTGAGAGTCGCTCAATGTGGATGACGAGGCCCCGCCCCCCTCCCCCCGTACGCTGTCCTGGTTTTGACAAACACAAATCTGGTCACACTGACCTGTATTCACCTGAGTCATGTCTTTTAATCCAACACAAGTTGGACCACATCAGCGACACAAGAGCTGGAGTTTTATCTTCACTTAGTTTATGTAAATTAGTGATGTGGTTTTAAGTTTTGTTTCTGTGAGATTTGAACAAAACTGAATTAAACACATTATAATGTCAAACAGCTGATGTGGATCTAGAGTCGTTATGTTTATATGTCGTAAAGTTGAGTTTATTTATGCAGATTAGTGCAGATAGTAATAATAATGATGATCATTTTAATATAAAAACGTTAATGATTAATCGATAATTGATTGTTAATTCTTCCGACGATCGATTAAGAAAATTTCACCGAATGCCCATCCCTAGTCAACAGTAAACTGGAAAAAACTGGAAGTAGTTTGATGTTCTAAAACTTTTGACCAGTAGTGTATCTGGATTTTTGCTCCACATTTCACCAATAACACAATAATACCACAGATTGGACTTGTATCTAAGACAGAAGTGCAGAGTTTGATCTTTGAACACTTAAGAGTCTCAGAGCGACTGGTTTTACTGTCGACAGGAAACGGTTGACGCGATCGCTCTCACGCATTTATACCCCGTGATCCGCAGACAGATCTTGCTGCAGTCTTTACGATCGGAGATTTTAAATCTCGTCAGATTCTCCTCGTGTCTGTGGTGTGCGCTTTTTGTCGCGCGTGTAAAAATCGTTAAAAAAACTGTTTAAAAATCCTGTAGTGTGTTTCGGCCTTTACGTGGAATCAAGCAGGTGGCGGACGATCTTCCAGAAAAGTTCCACAGTGCACCTTTAGACTCAGATTCATTTAATGTATGTTTTAAGTAAGAAGCGTTTCCAAGAGCAACTGCACAAAATTCTTTGGAAACAGATGGAATGCTGCGTCACCTCAGGGCCACCGTAGAGTAACATAGAAAATTAGAAATATTGTGACTTAGAATGTGTTTTTGAGTGTGTGTGTTTGCGTGTGTGTGTGTGTGTGCTGTTTTTTTTTCTTTTGGCATGAACGAGTAGATTTTAGACGAAGCATCGCACCTGCACGGATGCACCTGTCGTGTTTCTTCACTTTTGTCTTTGACATTTTTGAGTTTTTCAAAATTTAAAGGTCTTATATTACGTTAAATTCACGATCCACTGTGTGTTCTAAAGTCGTTTCCTCGTCACAAACAGACCCGGAGTTGTGTTTTGTTTTGTTTCATTCACACATTTAACGCACAAACACTCGGGCTGTATCGATATCCAGGTCTCACGATACGATATTGTCACGGTATGAACCTCACAGTACGATATTTATTGTGATATCGTGGGAAAGCTCACGATTAGAGGAGACACAGGCTCAAAACTGGGACTGTCCCGGTGAAACAGGTTCCACTTCATGACATCATAAGGTGGAACAGAGCATCTTAAGCTTTGGACATGCAGACAGACTCATAATAAAAAGTTACTCAAACAACAAACATAACTCCAGGTCTGATTTTGAGGAGGAAACAACATCAAAACACGACTTAAACCTCACCAGAGTCACTTTTGAGTAATATCGGACCTTTAAAACAATAAGTATAGATTTTTGTGTATATTTTTGTTCAGATGTTTTCTCTTCTGCTTGTTTGTTGTTATGCTTTGCCTGGAATGTTCCACAGTTTGGTATAAAAAACATGTTCAAGTGTGTTTCAAGTGTTTTTATTGTTCAAAAGCAATCCCTGTGTTATTCGTTCATTTGTTTTTCAAAATAAAACCATAAATAAGAAAGTAAAAAAACAACTATTTTCTTTCCAAAACCAAAATGAAAAAAACAGATAATGACTCTTTTTTCAGTTTTTGATTTTGTGTTTAAATGAAAAATGGAAAAAACGGATAACGTCTGTTTCCCGTTTTTGTGACTTAAACCGCGATGCTGGACTGAACCAGGACTGAACCAGGTCCGACCAGACCAAAACCAGACTGGGACCGAGACGAGGACTTAGACCGGGACCAGGACTGAGACCGGGACTAATCCCTGGCCTGAGATCAGGACTGAAACCGGAAACGGGACCGGGACTGAGACCGGGACTGATACTGGACTGAGACCGGGACTGGGACTGAGACCGGGACTGGGACCAGACCAGGACTGAGATCAGGACTGAGACGGGACTGAGACGGGGACTGAGACGGGACTGAGACCGGACTGAGACCGGGACCATGAGACCGGGGACTGAAACGGGGACTGAAACGGGGACCAGACTGAGACTGGGACCAGACTGGGATCGAGACCAGGACTGAGACTGGGACCAGACTAGGACTGAAAACGGTTTAGTCCTGTTTTAGTCTTGGTTCAGTCCGTATTGTGTTGCAAAAGTCCGGCATCGCAGTTTAATACACGAAAACGGAAAATGGTTGTTCTCATTTTTTTTCCATTTTTAATTTAAATACAAAATCAAAAACTAAAAAAACGAATCATTATCTGTTTTTTTCATTTTGGTTTTGGAGACAAATAATGAAGAACATGTTTTCGTTTTCTTATTTTTGGTTTTATTTTGAAAAACGAATGAATGAACGACACAGATTAAAAACACCTTCATGAACATGTTTCGGGCTGAGTTGTTCGACCTGCTTGGCTCTTACATGGAGATGGACAAAGCTGTACTGTGGAACATCTCGGGCAAAGCGACCACATCTCCACGGAGACGAGCAGGAAGCGCACCCTCCGGCTGAAATGTCCCGCAGTGCAGCTTTTAGCCTGAGCCGTGTGCGTGTGGTTTGCAGGTGGTGGTCGGGGACAAGGTGGTGCTGATGCCAGTGAACGCCGGGCAGCCGCTTCACGCCAGCAACATCGAGCTCCTGGACAACCGAGGATGCAAAGAGGTACGAGAAACTGGCTTTTATTGAGAAAAGAAAAATGGTTTTATCCAATCTACTTAATTTCTACAGCACATTTTATAAACGTGACAGTTTCCAAAGTGAATTCAATGACCCTTTGTTGCTGTATCAATATTCACACATGCACGTTCATTCACTTTGCACTAGAGCCCGACCGATATGGATTTTTATTTTTTTTTTGCGACCGATATGATCCCGATAAAACAGGAGTTGGACGAGCGTGTAGTCGATATAAAAGTCGATATATTTGGCGATGTAAAAATTCACTGTGAATCTTCAGTTGATTATAAATCTTAGGTTTGGCTCTGCTTGATTTAAATAGTTTGTTTCGGCGACATTTATTGTTATTCTGTCTCTTTACGTCGTATTTACAGACAGTAGGTCAGACTAATGACATTTTGCATCACATTCAAGTCTGTAAACAAAGTAAAAACTACTGCTATCAGCCTGGTAATGGTGGTAATTATATTTGCGTAAATTATGCGTAAATGCAAACCTATAGGTGAGTTTCAGCTGACGTCATTGTTATTAAAAGCCCGCGTTGCTGCTGGGAAATATTTTGGTCGGAGGCAAGAAACACGGTAGCGTCAAACACAGTGTGTAACCTCGCGTATTTCTCCCCGATAATGGTAAATTCCTGCTGCATTATCGGATGCACAAATAGAAGCACGGAAGAAGGAAAATGTCTTTTTCGTATTCTGAGTGAAAAGAACCACTAACGGTGAATTAAACGACTTTCAAACATCCGCAGAGCAAACGTAGAAGATCCTAACAAACCGTGGACTCCAACAAGTTCAACAACACATCGAGACTCTTGGAGGTTTTCATCTTTTCTGCTGTGAATGGCCCAGGAGTTTCCACCAAGTCATTGTGGATGTCACCCAAGTGAATATTTGTCCAGGTAGTTGGCGATTCTGACCAGAAATTTGGTTTGGTCCAGGTTCTGTCGGGGTTGAAAAGGGTGATTTGTCGTCCGTCGATGTTTATGACCAATTTCTGGTCAAATGGTCTTGGGTCCTCTGCCGTTAGAGTGGATAAATAACCAGGATCAATACCCTTTACGTGCTTTCTCGCTCCGTCCGTCATGTTGAATTAGTGTTTCTTGCCGCCGACCAAAATAATTCCCAGCATGAAACGCGCGCTTTTGTCAACAATGAAACTCGCCTATATTCACAGCTTATTTACACATCAGTGCAGGTAAGGTCACATGTGCACACACTATAATCACTTTACCCTAACCCTAATGTAAGAAAACAGCCTGTTTATGTGTTGGAGTTTAGAGCAGCAAAGCTCTAACCAATGAGAAAGAACCAAAAGTAGCTTCAAAACCCGACATATTTGTAACACTCAGTCTCACACAGGCTCCTCTCAGATCTTCCCGACTCAAAACAATTGTCCGTAAATGTATTATAATCCAACATGTTGACAGCAGCGTGTAGAAACAAACTCACTTGAGTGACGTGAGTCTGGTGGTGCGTTCAGGGACAGGACGGCGGCAGATAAATATTGATGCTGTGCCACATATTCGAACATTTATCTGTCTGTAAATTGGATTAAATGGACGTAATGTAGAGAGTCTGAGCTAAAGGATGAGATCGCGGATACAAGCGGTCGAAATGAGTTTCCTCTGCAGGGTGACTGGGCGGCTCTACTCCAAACTCAAAGGGTGAGGAGCTCGGAGTAGAGCTGCTGCTCCTCCACGTGGAGAGGAGCAGTGAGGGGAGGACGTCTGTTCTGATGCCTCCTGGACGTCTCCCTCAGGAGGTGTTCATGTCCCACCGGGAGGAGGCTCCGGGGAAGACCCAGGACACACTGGAGGGACTCTGTCTCTGGACTGGACTGGGAACACTTCATGGTTCCTTTGGAGGAGCTGGAGGAGAAAAACTTTCTCCAGAAAAATACAGTTTGAAAAATGAATGATGAAAATGAGTCGTTTTGTCCCACAGTGATTATGTGTCTTTGCTGTACCTTCATTTTTAATAGTTTAATTAACACTTATTTTTATTTTATACTAGCTTTGTTTTCATTATGACTCATTTGTATATTTTTCAGGTTAATGCTGTGAACTGTAACACGAGCTGGAAAGTGGCTCTGTTCATGAAGTTCAGTGATTACAGAGAGGACATTTTAAAAGGGGTGAGTCACTCTTATTATCAGAGAGAATGAAGACAATAGAAGTCGTAAAATCACATAAGAGCAAGAATAAATAATAAAAAGATAAAAGATAAAAATAAATAAAAGCCAGAGAGTAGAAGTGAGTTGAGAATGGACAATGTTAGAGAATCTTTTCATAGTTTTTTTTATACCAACAATACCAGCCCAGGTGTGTCCAGGTTTAGAAGTTTGAGATTCTTTACGGTTTGTTGTGGCGGTGTTTTCCAGGGCGACGTGGTGCGGCTGTTCCACGCCGAGCAGGAGAAGTTCCTCACGTCAGACGAGTACAAGAAACAGCAGCACGTGTTCCTCAGAACCACCCTGAGACAATCGGCCACGTCCGCCACCAGCTCCAAGGCCCTGTGGGAGGTCGAGGTGAGACTCTGATTATGTCCACTGTGATCACGAGCTGTGGAAATGTGTGCAACCCTGAACCGAACTGTGCCGGGACTAACAGGGCTGCACCGTTCTGGAGTTTATTTTGTGATTTAAGTTTAGGTTTAAAGGGACAGTCCAGAATTTTAGACACAAAACCTCATTTCCTCGTGAGCCAGAGTGTTGAAGACGTGTGGAGACACTTTGCAGAAGTCACTGGTGCCACTAAAAACTTACCCACTCCACAAAACACCTGAAGAAAATCTATTATTACACCAAACTGTCCATGTGAACGTCTGTGTGCATTACACCCAACATTGGTCCAAACGCTCCACGCCGCGCCCGGATTGGCCCGAACGCTCCACGCCACGCTGTGATTGGTCCGAACGCCCCACACCGCGCTCTGAGTGGCCAAACGCTCCACGCCACGCTGTGATTGGTCCGAACGCCCCACACCACGCTCTGAGTGGCCCAAACGCTTCACGCCGCGCTCTGATTGGTCCAAACACTCCACGCTGCACTCGGATTGGTCCAAACACTCCACGGCACGCTCTGATTGGTCCGAAGGCTTCACGCCACGCTCGGATTGGTCCAAACGCCCTACGCCGCGCTCTGATTGGTCAAAATGTTCCACGCCGTTCTCCGATTGGTCGAAATGCTCCACGCCGCACTCTTATTGGTCCAAAAATGCTCCACGCCGCTTTAGATTTGATTAGAGTTCTGTGGAGTGAAGTGAATAAAGTGTTTTTATAAATCCAATTAAATACAGAATTAATCTTGCAGCCGCAGTAAAAGAGAGTTTGAGTTTAAACAGACGACCTTAAAACTCAGATATTCTCGAGTTTTAATTTTTACTTTTTAAAGAAAATCGAGTGGTGACGGCTCAGACTTAAATTTAATCACAATCGTACCAGAAAAAACCCACATAGTTTCTCAAGTCGTGCGGTTGTCGGTTCAGACCTCGTCAAAAAGAGACGGTTTTTGTGTGTGTATAAAACGTTAGGGCATCTGGTGTAAATAAGTCGCTGCCATTTGGCTTTGTGTGTCGCTGGATTTAAACCAAACCATGTAAATTATGAAGTGATGAATGGGGAAGTTTCGGTGTTGTAGATGGTTTTTAGGGGAAGTGTATTTTTACGTTTTGCTTTCACATCAGGAACATCTCGTTTTCTTTACAATAGGCTTTTGTTCTTGTGTTCCTCTCGTGTTTGTGTCATTCTCACGTTTCCTTCTCTGTCCTGAGATGAAAATCGATCCACCTTTTACATCCTAAATGCAACTGAGCCACAAAGTTTGTTTTTGTATTTGTTTTTTACGACATAAAACTTGAAAACCTGAATGAATATATAAATAATTACATAAAAATTTAAAATAACATTAAAATTAAAAAAAAAAAAAATTAAAGTAAAAGTTAAAAGTAAAGTTAAATAAAGTAAAATAAAAATTAAAGTTAAAAGTAAATTAAAGGTAAAAATAAAGTAAAAAATTTAAGAAAAGTAAAATAAAGTAAAATAAAAATGCATGTAAAGTAAAAAGTAAATTAAAGGTAAAGTAAAAATGAAGAAAATATTTAAGTAAAGTGAAATAAAACGTAAAGTAAAGGTAAAAATTTAAATAAATGTAAAGTAAAAACTGAAGTGAAATAAAGTTTAAAAAAAAGTACAGTAAAAAGTGAAGTAAAGTAAAGGTAAGAGTAAAGTAAAAAATTAAAGTAATGTAAATTAAAGTAAAATAAAAAGTAAAGTAAAGGTAATGTCAAGTAAAAACTAAGGTCAACTAAAATAAAGTAAAACTAAAATTTAATTAAAGTAAAATAAAGTAAATATTAAAGTAAAATAAAGATAAAATGTAAAGTCAAGTAAAAAAAGTAAAAAAAAAAAATTGAAGTAAAGTAAAAAGTAAAGTATATGTAAGGGTAAAGTAAAAAAATTAAGTAATGTAAATTAAACTAAGAAGTAAAGTAAAGGTAAAGTAAAAACTAAAGTCAAGTAAAATAAAGTAAAATAAAAATTTAGTAAAGTAAAATAAGATAAAAGGTAAAGTAAAGGTAAGAGAAAAGTAAAAAGTCAAGTCAAGTAAAATCAAGTGAAAAGTAAAGTACAGTAAATGTAAAGTAAAGGTCAAAGTAAAGAAAAATTAAAGTAAAGTAAAAGTAAAAACTAAAGTAAAGTAAAATAAAAAATTAAAGTAAAGTAAAGGTAAAATAAAAAGTCAAGTCAAGTAAAATGTTAAGTAAATTAAAGTAAACAAAACCAGTCCAAATCTCCTGCAGAGTCGGATCGTCCTGGACTTTTTTGTTTTCTGTTTCTGCGTTTGACTGTGGGCGAGAAACATAAACCCGTGCGTGATAACAGACGAGTGTTATAAACATGACACTGTGTTTTATTGATACTTCACAGTAACATCGCGCTGGGGGTGTTCTGCTTTTATGTTTATGACGGAATGTTCATCAGTTACCACGGTGACACAACAACAACGACAACGCACACATGAGCAAACACAACCTGAAACTTTTTAAGATCCAAGTCTGAAAACAAAAAAAAATATCGTTCTGTTTAGGAGTTTGATTTTGAACCAAAAGGTGAGAGTGACTAAAATGTGTTTTGACGATATTTCTCTAATTTCTACTGAATTTCTTGGGATAATGATGACCTGATGTAAATATGAATGATAGTTTTACACAAATCAAAACGTTTTAAGACACTCTTTTATTATTTGTTTGGTCCTCTGTGTCTTTTATTTCATTTTTAATTTGATTTTATTCACTTTTTACAAATTTTTTTTTAGCTTTATGCGTTTTATTTATTGTTTTTATTTATGATTTACTGTCTTTTTATTGCATTAATTTGTCTGTGCAGCACTTTGTAAACTGTCATGTTTGTAAAATGTGCTGTAGAAAAAAGCGGATTGGATTGAAGACGCAAATTGTGAAGAAAAATCTAAAAATATGTTTAATAAATTTACATCAAATAGAGAGTCCTACACTAATGACGTCACACTGGGAGAATTCTGTCCAAAAGTTTAGCACAATCTGACACTTTAAACATGATTTCAACAAAATAAAGTTGTTTTCTTGTCATTTTAATTGTGAAATCATAATCTCTGTACAATCGTGTCATGATTTCCAACCAGAAAGTCAAATTTGACACCTAAAAAATGGCCAACCTGGGGAGAAAAAATGTAAAGTTTGTTGTAAAGTTTGTTGTAAAGTTTGTTGTAAAGTTTGCTGTAAAGTTTGCTGTAAAGTTTGCTGTAAAGTTTGCTGTAATGTTTGTTGTAAAGATTGCTGTACGTAAAGTTTAGCTGTAAAGTTTAGCTGTAAAGTTTTTTGTAAAGTCTTCCGTACAGTTTTTCGTAAAGTTTTCTGTAAAGTCCTGTTCAACCAGTCACAAGGACTTTTAACAGGACAAACGGCTCACCTGCTCTTCACAAAAACATCATAAATCTGACAGAAAAACGTTATAAATCTGTGTGTTCTGTCTCCTCAGGTGGTGCACTACGACCCGTGCAGAGGGGGGGCGGGTCAGTGGAACAGCCTCTTTCGTTTCAAACATTTGGCCACTGGAAATTACCTGGCGGCTGAAGTAAGTCACTGCACAAAACAAAACACACTTTTTCCTCAAAGCCCACAGCCCCGACACACACAGGACGCTCCTCTTTACTCTTCTGTCTGTTCTTGTCTTTGGACTGAGACGTTTAAAGACCGAGACAAGACCGAGACAAGACCGAGACAAGACCGAGACCGAGACAAGACCGAGACAAGACCGAGACAAAGACCGAGACAAGACCGAGACTTTTTAAAGAGACCGAGAGACTTTTAAAGATTGAGACAAGATTAGACAAGATTGAGAGACTTTTAAAGATGAGACTTTTAAAGAGACTTTTTAAAGATTGAGACTTTTAAAGATTGAGACTTTTAAAGATCGAGACTTTTAAAGATCGAGACAAGACCGAGACTTTTAAAGGCCGAGACAAGACTGAGGCTTTTAAAGACCGAGACTTTTAAAGACTGCGACAAGACCCAGACTTTTAAAGACAGAGACGTTTAAAGGCCGAGACTTTTAAAGACCGAGACAAGATCGAGACTTTTAAAGACCGAGACAAGATTGAGACAAGACGAGACTTTTAAAGGCCGAGACAAGACGAGACTTTTAAAGGCAGAGACGTATAAAAGGCCGAGACTTTTAAAGATCGAGACTTTTAAAGACTGCGACAAGACCCAGACTTTTAAAGACAGAGACGTTTAAAGGCCGAGACTTTTAAAGACCAAGACAAGATCAAGACTTTTAAAGACCGAGACAAGATTGAGACAAGATCGAGACTTTTAAAGGCCGAGACTTTTAAAGGCCGAGACTTTTAAAGATCGAGACTTTTAAAGATCGAGACTTTTTAAAGGCCTAAACAAGACTGAGGCTTTTAAAGACCTAGACTTTTAAAAGACTGAGACTGTTAAAGACTAAGACTTTTAAAGACTGAGATTTTTAAAGAACGAGATTTTTAAAGACCGAGATTTTAAAGACCGAGATTTTTAAAGACCGAGATTTTTAAAGACCGAGATTTTTAAAGACCGAGATTTTTAAAGACCGAGGTTTTTAAACACAGAGGTTTTTAAAGACTGAGACTTTTAAAGGACGAGACAAGACTGAGACTTTTAAAGACTGAGACCGAGACCATGGCACATTGGGACAAAATCGAGACCATCTTTGTAATTTTCAACATTTATTTGTATTTTATAGTTATTTTTGCACATAGATTTATAAAAACATTGATATATATCTCCATTTATCACTCGTCGAGTGTCAGACCTCGAGACTGAGACAAGACCGAGTCCAAGCTCCTTCAAAACTGAGACAAACAGAGTCCGAGACGAGACCAGGACTGCAAAAAAACAGGCTTGAGGCCGGACTTGGGACCAAAACCGGTCTCGAATCCTAAAACACAATGACTAAATCCACCAAGTCTGTGCAAAGTTAATATGAAAAACACACAAAATCCTCTTGGCGATATATCGATACAGCAGCCCACGATATCGATACTGTATCATCAAATTAAATGATATATCGATATTTTTAAATATTTTTGCACAAACACAAACAGCCCTGTGTGTTTACTTCCAAATCTGAAATGGTCCAGTGCAGTTTGTGTTTTTTGCTGCAGGGGGCAGTGTTTCCTCTAAAACTGCTGCTGTTCTGAGTCGTGTTCTGCAGCTGTGGAGAGATTGACTCAGCTACAGTTTACAGAGATTCTTATTCTTTATTTTTATTATTTATTTGTAAAGTGACAGCACATCTTCATGAACTTCTAAAATGTAAATATGTATATGATGTGTAAATATGATTATCTCAGTTTTGTCTTCAGCCCTTTGCCCTCAGGTTCATGTCAAACAATCAAAAAAAAAAGAAAAAAATTAAAATTAAATTCTAAATTGGCCAAAATATAAATATAAGGCACCTCGCAGCAGCAGTGTGGTTATTAGAGCTGATATCGTTAAGATGTTGTTGATACGATACTTATCTCGATACACAGGCCACGATCCGATATGTTTTTCGATACAGTGCACTTCTATTTCGATATGATTCGATTCGATGCGGTTCAATAAAAAATAAAGTCTGTGACATTAAAAGTTTTTGTTAAACCGCGTCTTGTGCAAAGTTCATATGAAACACAAACATTTTAATCGTCAAAACAGTGAAAATGTCAAATGTGACGCATAAACGTCTCTGAACGAACAACAAAACTGTAGCTGTAACAAAATTATTCAGTAAAATAAACCAAAAAATACTCTTGCTGATATATCGATACAGCAGTCCACGATATTGATTCTGTATCGTCACATTAGGCAATACGATATATATATTGATATTTCGATATTTTTGCACATCCCTAATGGTTTTGTTGCACTACCACATTACCGTATTTTTCAGACTATAAGTTGCACATTTTGGGAGAATTTTGTTTTATAAAATCAGAGACCAGGAGCCGACATTTCCTGTGTAAAGTCAAGTTGTAGTAAAAACAATAGAAGAGAGAACAACAGACTGTTAACGTCACATATGAACAGTTCTTCAGATAAACTATAACATAAACAACAGAACAGAACAAGTTTAACAAACTCTCCATCTCACTCCAAATCACTAAATCCATTCAATTCTTCATCCTCTGTGTCACTTCTGAACAACTCGACCTCGACCTCCGGAGGTAAACAGAGTCGGATTCAGCATCAGTTCCAGTTAGAATTATTTCTGGTCTTTCTGAATCTCGACAGGATGGTTTCGGTGTCACTGAAGTCCAGACTTTGTCCATCCATCCAGTGACTTCAGGAAAGTTTCACGGTTCATCCTCCCGGTGTCACAAGTTTCTCTCTCACTCCAAACTTTCTTTCCGCTGCTCGATTTCCGTTTTCAGCTGCAGATTTGACGACTTGCAGCAGGACAGAGGCTCTTTCTGCAGGAGACATGCGCAGTAGAGCCAAGTGACAGTGGTACAGGAGGAACAGGAGCAGCAGATACTCACACACAAGACTAGAACCTCTCCACACTTCACCAAAAACATTTTAATATACAAGTCGCACCGGAGAATAAGTCACAGGAAACACACAAACCAGGAAAAAAAGTGACACTTATAGTCCAAAAAATACGATACTTTTGTTTTATTTCATTAAATTTGTGTGTGTGTAGGTATTGTTTTATGTTTGTTTTTTATGTTTATTTTATTGTATTTTGTTAAATGTTTTATTCTGTATTTTGTCTTTAATAAAACTATCACACAAAAGTACACCAGCACACCCACTGTACGCACAATTCATTTTAAAAGGTTCATTCCAAATTCGATGTCAAGAGTTAAAGGGTTAAACCAAAAACTCCTCAACATAAAAAAACACAGAGTTCTTTATTGTGTTTCTGTTGTCTTTTATGATTTTTATTTTACAGATAAACCCGGAGTTCAAAGACGACACGGAGCCCAAATCCGAGGTGAGCAAGAAACCGCAACAAAAAAAAGTTTAAAACCAGCTGATGCACTGCACCAATCTGAGTTTTGGTTTAGTTTCCATGGAGACGCAATGAAGAAAAAGACAAAAAGTTTTACGATCGTCTGAAAACTCAAGAAAAAATACAAAATGGGTTTAAAGGGCACGTTTTCGGGAGCCTGTGGTCAATCCAAGTCGGTTGTTTCTGGTCAGATTGTGTTAAATTAAGAGTCTGTTTTAGATCTTGAGACAGAGCAGAGCCTCCAGGATCTGTGTCCCATTCGTTCATTTGTTTTTCAATATAAAACCAAAAATAAGAAAACGAAAAAACAACAGTTTTCTTCATTATTTGTCTCCAAAACCAAAATGAAAAAAACGGATAACGGCTGTTTCCCGGACTGAACCAGGACTGATCCAGGTCTGGGACCAGAGCGGGACCAGAGCGGGACCAGAGCGGGACCAGAGCAGGATCAGAGCGGGACCGGCCTGGTCTCGGTCTCAGTCCCGGTCTGGTCCCAGCCTGGTCTTGGCCTGGTCTCAGTCTCGGTCCCGGTCTCAGTCTCGGTCCCGGTCTCAGTCTCGGTCCAGGTCTGATCCCGGTGTGGTCTCAGTCTCGGTCTGATCCCCATCTCAGTTCTGATCTCAGTCCTGGTCTGGTCCTGGTCTGGTCTCGATCTCAGTCCCGCTCTGGTCCCGGTCTGGTCTCGATCTCAGTCCCGCTCTGGTCCCGGTCTGGTCTCGATCTCAGTCCCGCTCTGGTCCCGGTCTGGTCTCAGTCTCGGTCTGGTCCCGATCTGGTCAGATCTGATCTCAGTCCCGCTCTGGTCCCGCTCTGGTCCCGCTCTGGTCCCGGTCTGGTCCCGGTCTGGTCCCGGTCTGGTCCCGGTCTGGTCCCGGTCTGGTCTCGGTCTCAGTTCCCTTCTGGTTCTGGTCTCAGTCCCGCTCTGGTTCCGGTCTGGTCTCGATCTCAGTCCCGCTCTGGTTCCGGTCTGGTCTCGATCTCAGTCCTGCTCTGGTCCCGGTCTGGTTCTGGTCTCAGTCCGCTTTGGTCCCGGTCTGGTGTCGATCTCAGTCCTGCTCTGGTCCCGGTCTGGTCTCGATCTCAGTCCTGCTCTGGTCCCGGTCTGGTCTCGGTCTCAGTTCCGCTCTGGTCCCGGTCTGGTCCCGGTCTGGTCCTGGACCTGGATCAGTCCTGGTTCAGTCCAGCATCACAGTCACAAAAGTTACATAAACGGGAAACGGTCGTTATCCGTTTTTTCCATTTTTCACTTAAACACAAAATCGAAAACTGAAAAAACGAATCATTATCTGTTTTTTCATTTTGGTTTTGGAGACAAATAACGAAGAAAACTGTTGTTTTTTCGTTTTCTTATTTTTAGTTTTATATTGAAAAACGAATGAACGAACGACAGATTCTCCAGTTAACGAGATGAGCTGCAGATTTCAGACTTTTGCGTTTCGATCGATTGTAGAAACTCGTTGTGTGTGTGACAGAAGCGCAAAGTGAGACGGGAAACGATTCGTGTTTGTTTCTCGTTTTGATCTAAATCTCAGTTTTCGATTAGATTTTTTTGTATTTTATCTTTCCCCAAACTTCTCGTTAACGATCAGACGTAAACGGTTCTGGATGAAAGTTGAGATGAGAAAATGTGTTGGTGTAAGTTTGGCCTCGGAGTTTGTGTGAGTTGTGAATTCCCTGAGCTGAAAAAAAACACACAAAAAAAACGCAGCGTCGGTGCAGAAAAGAAAAGTCTGCCTCAGTCTGGAGCCCGAGTGCGACGAGAGAAAACTTAAAACTCACAGCCAAATGTACTCGATCTGTATTCAGCCAGAGTGAGAACGAGAGCGAAGAGAGGAAGAGAGAGAGAGAGCGAGGGAGAGGAGAGCGAGAGAGCGAGAGAGGAGAGAGCGAGAGCGAGAGAGGGGAGAGGAGAGAGAGAGAGCGAAAGAGAGCGAGGGAGAGGCCAGAGGCAAACGCACAAGCACAAGAACACTGCCCTGAGAAAAGACGAGAGGAGAGAGAAGAGGGAAGAGACAGACTCACACTGACCTCTAAACAAACGAGAGGAAAGAAGGAGGAGAGGAGAGAGGCAGACTCATACTTGCACAGCCCTTAGAACACAGGAGGAGAGAGAGAGAGAGGAGAGAAAGAGAGAGAGAGACGCAGGAGAGAGGAAGGAAAGGAGAGAGGGAGGAGAGAGAGAGAGAGAGAGAGGGAGGAGAGAGAGAGAGAGGGAGAGGAGAGGAGAGAGTGAGGAGGGAAGAGAGGAAGAAGAGAGAGGAGAGAAAGAGAGAGGAGAGAGAGAGAGAGAGGTGAGAGGAGAGAGTGAGAGGAGAGAGGAGAGAGGGAGAGGAGAGGAGAGAGGGAGGAGAGGAGAGAGAGAGAGAGAGAGAGAGAGAGGAGAGAGGAGAGAGAGAGAGAGAGGAGAGGAGAGGAGAGGTGGAGAGGGAGAGAGAGAGAGAGAGAGAGAGAGAGGAGAGAGGAGAGAGGGTGGAGAGGAGAGAGGAGAGAGAGAGAGAGAGAGGGAGAGGAGAGGAGGAGAGAGAGAGGAGGAGAGGAGAGAGGGAGGAGGGAGAGGAGAGAGAGGAGAGGAGGGAGGAGAGGAGAGAGAGGAGGAGAGAGAGGAGAGAGGAGAGAGGGTGGAGAGAGAGAGGGAGAGAGAGAGAGAGAGGAGAGGGAGGAGAGAGAGAGGGAGGGAGAGTGGAGAGAGAGAGAGAGAGTGAGAAGAGGAGAGAGAGAGAGAGGAGAGAGGAGAGAGAGGGAAGAGAGGGAGAGGAGAGAAGAGGAGAGAGAGAGAGAGAGAGGAGAGAGGAGAGGAGAGGAGAGAGAGAGAGGAGAGGAGAGAGGAGAGAGGAGAGAGAGGTGAGAAGAAGAGGGAGGAGAGGAGAGGCAAGACTCATACTTATGATGCCCTGAGAAGAGACGAGAGGA